GTCTGAAACGGTAGGACTCTATAATGTGAAACTATTTTATTTAATTTTACACGTGTTCAAATGGTTGTTTGTTATTTCATATTATTCAAAGAATTTGTTTCAATGAAAACATGTGTAGTTCCTCATAATAATAAGCATCTATCTTTTCGTTTATTTATCAATATCCACCATTTGTGGCTTCAAATACTTATTTTGTTCTAGATGAAAAGACATCTGTTTTCGAACAATAATGGGCATTAATGTAAATATATTAGTATCAGTAATCGGACACAATTCTATAGAGCAACATTAGTGTGGATATCACGTGTTTGTAAGGAAAAACAAGTTATTTCCTCTTCCCTTTATCGGGGTCACTCTATTTTAATATTATTAAAATAATGATAAGAAGAAGAAGACGAAGTAAAAGAAGAAGTAGTAGAAGAAGGAAAAACTGAAAAGATAAAAAGGGGATGTGTGTCGCCCTTCCACCCGCCACATCCGGCTTAGTATAAATATATTGCCAATAACTCATAAAAAAAGAAGTAAATAAAAAACACAGCTTGTTGTATTATAAAATCAATCTTCAAATAATGACAGAATACCAGGCTAGTGCAGCTTTGATTTTAATTACAAACATCACACATAAATCATGCTAAGGTGAGTGCGCGATACCTCATTTATGGTCTCAATGGATTTTTCTTGCCAACATATGTATAGAAAACGTGACGACCTACTTCGTGCTTATACCTGTATTCCTCACGTGCTTATTGGGCGTGTCACGTGACTCGGGAAACTGCATGTTATATATACCACGGCTGTTATTATAGAAAGCTGTTACAAAACACCGAGAAGCCGGACCAGCAGTGCATTGTCTAGCTCGGCCCGTGCATCGATTTTAGACAGTTTGACTCACGTCCAGCTCCGTACTTAAGAACTACAGAGTCGAGATGAAGGTTGTAGCCTTGTTGTCTGTTTTGCTACTCGTTGAGTGTGCGGCAGCATCTCCTCTGTTGCAGTTTTTGGAAACGGCTACCCAGGAGCAATCGTTGGATGTCTCCAAGGACCCAGTGGAGGAGTTCTTCAATCTGCCCGCCGCCCCTGATAATGATGAAGGCGATGACGGCTCACCAAACATGATGCTGACGTTTGGTGTGAAGGGGTTTGAGGAGGAGGCCGTGGCAGAGGAGGAAGCCCCCTTGGATTGCGGGTTGGACCTGTTTCAGCTCGCCTGGAAAATTGGGGCTAAGCAATTCTGTCTCCTCGTGTGGCGGGCGGGTTTGAAGGACACCCTCAAGACTGGAGGTAGGTTTATGTACCAGAGACCCTGCATGTAGGTGGACAGTTTTTGGGAAGACTTGGATAATAATAATAATAATAATAATAACCGGGGGGGGGGGGGCTGTGTACTGTACAGTATAGCAAAGTGTATGAGAGGTACTGCAAGCAACAGAGGAGGTAGCTACCCCTGTATGTGCCCATAACATTCAGTTTCCATTCGTACATTCGTCGTATTATTTTGATAATTCTAATAAATGATTTTGCTCTCATGGAACCTTTCTCCCACGCTGCCATTGTCTTGGCTGGGATGCTAAGCATTCGCTATCATGAGTGTTATTTTTTCTTTAAAATTTGATTCCCAGTGTTGTCACATATTATTATTACACCGTATCTTATTCAGGGTATGTTAAACAGCAGCACGTGTAAATTTTAGAAAAAATGTCTTATTGTAGCCCTACATACAGTTATTAATACTGTATGTACAGTAGTTATACACTGTTTGTATTGATATATTTTGCGTCACAAGAGGTTCTATTAGGAATCTGTGATCTGCATCATACATCTAAATGTCTGCGCAGTGTCATTAAAATGATCATGTCTTGGTATTTTTTGGTTTAGTAGGTGTAACATTTTGCATGTTATCTAAAAATGATGTTTACCAGCTGTCTAGATTATAATTATGCTATTTCCTAAAGGATTAATAAACCGCACTCAATGTACGCTAAGGCATATGTCAAGGCCGTTATATGAGAAAAATGCTTTTGGGTCAGCTGCTGATGGCCTACAGTAGCAGTAGCCTTAACGCCAAGTTACGTAAGCAGGTTATTTTTTCCGGCTGTGGTACTCGTCTAGACACTGAATGGATGAGAGACTTTTTATGAAGTGGAAGAAAGAAAAAAAATGCTTATAATGTATATACGTTTTATAAATCTCCCCAAATGTACGGAGTGGGTGGGGTGGGGATGCTCCCCTTGCCCTCACCTTGTAACAATCAGCACTTAATATCAACTCTAAGTGCGCGTTTTATTTTCTGATGCATACACTGATATGGTGCATTCCTAACACGAACATGGTTCAGCTTCACCGATTTAAGGTCTTTGTCCGCCCCTTGTTTGTTGACAGCGCAGGTCGTAGCGTCAAGTTAGCAGGCGTGAAACGAGACACGTTTTCAAACGTAAAATAATGCAACTGACTTTCAATGTCGTTCCGCTTCCATATGCGTAGTGATTACCCGTCCCTCTACTGGGGCATGGTCACAGATGGGTTTTTCAGTAGATATTCACATGTATGCATCTGGCTAATTTATGACATTTTTTAATACTGCGCAGCGAGGATTTTTCCTTGGAATTTATTTCATCATTCAGTTGACCTGTAGTTTAGAGTATGCAATTGGGAGGGGGCAGTTTTTAAACCACCTCAGTCATAACCACACAGGGAGAAGGACAGGCTAAGCGTTGCATCCCCCCTCCCTCGTTACAATTTTCTGAATAGTTAGCCTCCCAAATGCTTTCTATGTCCCTGACGTCAAAAAAAAAATTATAATAATAATAATAATAATATTTTAAAAAATAAAAAAATAAAAAAAAACGTGCGGCGCTAGAACAACGTGAAGGAAATTGTAATCGGATGATATGTAAACCTTATTTTAGAACTATTATCTCACGTACGTTTTGGGTGTTTTTCTTTTACATTTTTAGTGAAGGTTACAAAACCATGAATCATATACCAGTAAGTGGTGCGCGTCATCCTGACCTTGGAGCACGGCATGTTGTTGTACCAATTTATAGTTGTGTCCTAGTAAATGCCCTCAGTTTTTGTCTGTGGCTTGTTTGGTAGCCTGCCATTACTACTTATACCCTCTACCAGGGCCGCGGAAAATATGTGTACTCTTCTCTATCACAGAGAACAAAATGAACGTCTATTTATCTAAAGACATATCTGTGAATATCTGGTGAAAAATCAAGCTGTGGCCATGGTAGACGGTAATCAATACTCACCGTGGCACCAGTGTTACTGCGACCGTATATATGTCAACCAGGCTGCCCCTCACCATTGACTGCCATATATAGGTGATTTTGTGAATTTTTTTGAACTCTTTTTAGTTGCAATATTTAATGAGATCTATTTTTGTCTCGAATGTTTAAATCTTACCTCCGCCGCTTAGGGCTGTATCATAGTGATTTTATTTATGCATGCGTTAGATTTGGTTGTGGGGGTGTCAGTTATCATCGGCAACAGACAATAATAAAGAGTGTATGTTTTTATCAACATATTTGGTATCTAATGCATCGAGGCTTGGAAGGTCCAGGATGAGCGTTCCATGTTTATTTTTATCTTATACTTGTTTGGGGAAAATTAAAACCGGAGAATACTCCGAATATTTGGGGGCACCATCTGGAAATTCGGCCGCTGTTTGGGCGTGGTGATTGTATAGGAAAGGGGTGACATTTAAGGACTTGTGTTTTGGGGCTTAATTAATACACCGGATAAAACCAAACTTTGCGCTGGAGTCCATGTATCCATATAGTATTCTTATAATTATTTTGGTCTAGGGGTTTTTATCCCTAATGCGAGGAATATGGATATGTTTGGCAGTTTGCACGTTCTTTATTATATAATTATATCACAGTGTCAACAGTAAAGAATTTTATTTAGATTTTATGAAGAATAAATAAGTATGCGGCTTTTCACAGTGTTTTACGATACATTTTCCTTTTTTTCTATTAAAAACAGGACCCTTCACTGTCTTCGTACCTAGTGACCGTGCCATATCTCGTCTGCCGGCCTGGGTAAAATTTTACCTGATCATCCACAAGACGGCGCTGCAGGCGATCTTGAAGTATCACGTGATCAACGGGCGAGTAATGGCTTCGGAGCTAATGGGCGATGACGAGAAAACGATCCCCACGCTGTACAAAGATAAAAGCCTTAGAATCAATGTCTACCCGAGAAAACACCCCAAAGGTTCCAAGGTATGGAAAATATCAGACAGAAGTCAGAAAGATAATATTTCCAGGAATTCCGAATCATTGTTTCATTTCAAATACTCCCCCGTAGGCTATAATAAACATTTAGGTAATTAATGAACTGTGTAAAAACGCAAGAACCGGAGGAGGTGGAGGGGCGGGGGGGGGGGGGGGTAAGCCCTTTTACTTCATTCACCAACGACAGTCATAAGCGCAGGTAGCAGAGGCCTCACCCCTTCACCGTCGCTACATTTTCTGAGCAGTTACCAGGTGATTTTTTTCCTACGAGCTTGAGTTGACAATACCGAAAATGGTTATTTCAAATAGAGAGTAAAGTGGGGGCAAAAGCAGCAGAATTTTTTCCTTATTTAGAGGGTAAAAAAACGCATTGACCATTAACAGGTTTGTCAGCTGCGAGGAAAGGGTCGTCTTGTGTAGCAAAACAAACAAACAAACAAACAAACAGCTAAAGAATAATTTAAACGTGATTTTACTGACATATTTTGTGCCCAGTTATCTGTAAATGCGTCGTTTTATTCTTCAGCTCATCACTGCGTCGGGTAGCCCTGTCTGGAAAGCCGACATCAACGCGACCAATGGCGTTATCCATCTGGTCGGAAAGGTGATTACGTCCATCCCAGTGGATACTTCTGGTGGAGTAGTGGAGAAATGCCCGGATTTCAGGGTGTTGAAGAGATGCCTTAATGCCACTGGCTTGACCGGTGCTTTAAAAGGTACTTGGTGGAATGGTTTCATCTCGGAGAGAATGCGTTTATGATCTGTTAAATGTTAGATTATTTTTTGTTCAGTTGTTGTTGAGGCAAATGAAAAAACTCGGTAAAACGAATTTTAACCGCAGTTTCAACGTTTGGCTTTGACGACCATTCAAAATATTTTATGCCAACGTTTTTTAGATCTTTTACAAGTAATATCTCTTGAGTTAGATGTGTGTTCTTTTTATACCAATATGAGATTACATGTTTTAAAAAATCAGTTAGATTTCAGTGAAAATATGTAGAGCTACCCAAGATACGAACCTCAATTCTAATTCTCCATTTATGTTGTACTATTTTAAATAAACGGGCAAACAAAAAGAGGCCCTACTGGGATTCGAACCCAGGATCTCCTGTTTACTAGACAGGCGCTTTAACCAACTAAGCCATAGAGCCGACGCTTACGTATGATATTATATATATGTAAAAATTTATAATAATCTCTGTCCCTCACGCAGGAGATGGTCCGTTGACTTTGTTCGCTCCAACCAACGAAGCTTTCAGGAAGCTTCCACCTGGTGTGAGAAAGATGTTGCTCAACAATTCTACAGTTCTTAAAGGTAGGGGTGAAATGAATGGATATCAGCAAGGGGGGGGTGTTAACTCCTCCTCCTGGGAGGAAACACTTGGGAAAAATGACATGAAACGATCTGGGACTTTTTCTACTAATTCTGTTGGTCTCAGATATGTGTTTCACCTTTTGATTAAATATAGAGGAGGGCGCACCTGCCACATTACTATGCAAAAGGGGGAAAAGACCCCCTCCCCCCCCATGAACTCTCCTGTGCATGACCAATATGTCTCTATTTGTCTAGTTATTTAAAAAAAATTAAGATATTGCAATATGATAAAATTGCCACAAGCATAGCAATCAAACGACTAAAACTGCATAATCTTAATATGAAAAGGCGTTAAAGCACAAATTTATTTTCATTTTGTAAATATCAAGTTATAAACGGATACAGGTATGTAAAAAAAGTGGGTCCAACAACGTACAAGCATTATGCCACTTTCTTACTTTTGCCAAGACCAATCATCACCAGGCTTTAAAGTGTCGTATCGGAGATTCATTGTACGATTTACTTTATTTTGTAGAGGTCCTTTTGTATCATGTCGTAAACCTGACGTACTACGCGGCTGGGCTGGTCAATTACGACAACGTCACCACTTTTGAAGGCGATGCTATCAAAGTGCATGCCTGTCGAAGTAAGTTCATTTTTGTTTTGTAACTTTAGGGCCCCTCAAAATGGTACTTGAACTGCCTTAGACCTGTATTGTTTTTCTCGACGTAAATGTGTTTTTCAGTTTGAAAAATTATGTAAGTCTTATGTACTTACTCGAACTCAAATGTATTATTTTATTTTATTCAAATTTTATTAATTAATGATTGGTACATTACACAATTAGGCCTATTGTAATTTTGCAACGTGTTACGGGAAAGAATTGCCTTTAGATTATGAATAATGTATTGGTCTGAACACAACCGCTATCTTTTACAGGGTACCACGTCCTCAAGGTTAACAACGCACGTGTCACCTATCCCGACGTGTCCACAACTAATGGAGTCATGCATGCAATCAACCGCGTGCTTCTTCCCCCCTCAATGGCGGATCTCCTTTCATCGGAACCGGATGTAGAGGAAGAAGGGAAAGGAGTAGAGAGTAACGAAATTCCCATGGTTTACGAGAAGATATTTCATGAAAAGTTCGATTTCGAGAAGGAAATGGGAAGGGGTTTTAATGAAATTAGACTCTGATTGTTAGTTGTCAGTGATGATGAAATGAATGCAATATAGTAGCCACGGACGTGGAGCATATGCATACGCAAGAAGGACCCTGCAACGTAGTGTGAAATGGACATTGTATTTAAAAAATACGGTGTATGTGCCCTCACTCTAACGAAAAAAGATCTTGCATAAGAAATCCAGCTATTCTCAAAAAGTGCAGAAATCCATACGATAGGCCTTTATATATATATATATTTTTTACAAGGAAAATATCGATATACCTGTATATATCAATGTATGGGTGTACCTACAGATCGTAAACGCCCAGTGATGAATTAACAATTAATTTCTGTTTTTTTAAAGTTATGTTAAATCTGACTGCAGAATCTCTCCTAAAAGATTTATTGAGATTACAAATGTGTTTACAGACATTTGGAATAGGACGGAATATTGCATTAGGTGCGACTTCTTCGCGCACTACATGTATATGAAAAATATGCTAGGCTTCAGTAATAGTTTATCCATTGTTCTTATTGCCCTCAGTTTTTTTTTTTTTTTAATGAAACAGCTGGTCTACATATTATTGAAAATTATATTATTTTATACTCATAATCATAACTTGTACTCGGAAACTTTTCTTTATTTTTTCAATGTAATGCATTCTCTTAAGCCCCCTTTACACTGGACGGCGTCCTTTCTGCGTCCAGCAGTCCGGCCCCATTTGAGAGTTAAAAAATTATAATATTTTACGTGCCGACAACTGGCCGATCATTGAGCATTCATTCTGATACAAAATTAATGCTCGTGCCTCCTTATTAAGACCACAGCGATGCCAAATTTCATGGTCGCAGAGAGGACGCAGAAAGGACGCCGTCCAGTGTAAAGGGGGTATTATATAACTACATACATGATAAATAAATTTGATATTAAAAGTGATGATGCTGCTTTTGTTAAATCAAAATGAACACACACACACACACACACACAACAACAACAACAACAACAACAACAAAAATATTAGAGTTTAACGTTAATTAAGTTTTTTTTATTATTTTGAAGTAATCTTTAACGTTGCTTGCTTGACCTCCGCTTATTGATCTGCTGTGCACCTCTGAGAAAACAATTTAATAAAGGTCTTGCTTTTTACAGAACATCTAAAACGTTTAGTTCAAATCGTTCGAAATTCGAGTATACATGTAGCTCTGCGGAAAACTGTGGCCAACAATGATATTATAGCACAATTCGTATGCTACTGTATTTTTTCTTCCCTATTTATAACATAAAGAACGGGGGTTATTTATCGGGTTAAGTTCATGTTGTGAGGCGTTACATACCCCTGTACATGTGGATGGTTGGCAAAAAGCAGACTGGACTTTAGACTACATATAAAAAGGGATAAATAAGCCAAGTTAACTTAACCGTAACTGTACTATCGCAGTATTTTAAAAACCAAATTTCTGCATGCACTAATGCCGTTACTTCCAGGATAAAAAAGAAATTTTTTTTTTTTTATTTCCATGACTACGGTTCAAGAGTTGACTTTGCCCTCCTCCGGTTTACTGAGTAGTGTATCACGAGGCTTGTGTTTTCTTCCTTGTACTGCGATTTTTCTTCCTGAAAATATGAGTTTTCCGTCTATACGTCACACATCTTTAACACTACAAAATGCACTTATAGATTCGAATATTAAATCGCCGCGAGACTTAATTAAGTATAAAACACCCAATGCACATTATGAAATTAGAACGTAGATCTACATCTAATAACAGTTTAGGACACCAAATGTACAATAAATAATAAAAAAACGTACATGTAATCTAATAACAGTCATAACAGTTTAGTACACCCAATGTACGATAAAAAAAACGTACATGTACACCTAATAACTGTATATTACCCCCCCCCCCAAAAAAAAAAAAAAAAAAAAAATCTCCAGGACCCCAAGTGTACGTGAGAGTTATCACGCGGTTGTGATTAATACTGCAACGTACTCATAGGGATTCCAATTTACTTAGTAAGGAAGTAGATGTGCCCACACAGAAATCTTCCTCGTAATTTGAACCGAACACCAGCTCTGCTGCAACCTTAGACTACAGACAGTACCGATCCTGCGTCTTACATCATGATTCTTATTTCATACTAGAAAATTCTTTTGAAATCCAAGTTACATGTACTACCACTTTTCATGTTGATGACCCAATGTGAATATGTGCTTCACATTTACGGCGAACTAGTAGTCCTTACATTCATATCCTTATCTCAAATTTGAAACATAGTAATTTAACTAAAATCAATGAATATTTTTTTGTAAATAAAAAGTACATTTAACTGATTATTTTGAAATGAATAACGACCAGCATGGCGTAGTCCAGTGGGTGTGGCGTTTCGTTTTTATTTTCAGTCACCGCTAGACGTCCGACTTTCACATTTTACCATTTTACTTTATAAAATAATTATAATTTTACTGATAGACATTATAAACTATAACATCCACTTTCACTGCACAGTATAGTATCTCCGGAAACTTAAAAAGGAAAAAAAAATATTAAAGAAAACATAAAAGACGGACTTAACTTGAGTATGCGTATGCGTATCGTATCGTATCGTATCGCATCACCCTGAGACTCAGGAATAACAGGCCGCTTTTAAAAAAAACCTCATTGCATAGAAATCATATCTAAGCCATGGTGAAAAGCCTTCAGATGATGTGAACGGTGTGTGTGTGTGTGTGTGTGTGTGTGTGTGTGTGTGTGTGTAATGGTGTATGTGCGTGTGTTTTCGTCCTCGCACTTGAATAAAAAGCGTGGGTGTCCAGGATTCATCCCACTGTTATAAAAAAACAGTACCCAGGGACACTTAACAGTGGTAATAAATACATGTAACATTATTCATGATTATTCAGTTTTGAAGCCATAAAATGAATCAGAAGTCATGCACACAGCTATATCCGGGTTCGCCGGAATTCCCAATGACCTACTTTCCCTTTAAGATCAATATTCCGTTCTTCCCCCCTCATTTACTTGGCGGCTATTATGGAAATAAGGTTCAGGTATTATCGAGTCTGTGCCTTTTTATCTTTATTTTCCAGTGGATGTTTCAGCAACCCCTTGTACCCTTACGGAACTGGGGCCGGAGACTACATCGCACCCAAAAATGACGACGGCAGCACAGAACGTTTGAATATTGGTGTGGATTTCCCCTATTTCGACGAGTACTACTCCTCGCTCTATGTAAGTAGCAGACAGCAATCGATTTATTTCTCTTATTCCTTCCCTGTATATTAAAGAGCCGTAAATTTTAAATGGGCTTTTTCTTGATAAAATAATGTGATTGTTGAAAACATGAGCCGAATAAAGGGCCCTTAAGTAAGTCCCAAAATAACTTTTGAAGATAAGGAAACCAGCTTGTTAAATAACCTTCAACCATCCGAATGTTTTCGTAGTACTATTCGTTGTGCTGCTAAGCTTGAATACCCAGGTAATATTAATATCTAAGTTGACTGAGTTGATGGCATTGTCGACCTAGATTCTTTGTTTACTTGTATCCACATCCCATTTTACATAGTGGCTACCTGTATCGAGCGTGTGATTTAAAACGTAGATATAATATGCTGTTATCCAGTATCCATGAGTGGTTTAGAGACATCAGATCTCTCTCTCTCTCTCTCTCTCTCTCTTTCTCTCTCTCTCTCTCTCTCCAGTATCAGGCCTACCCAACTACCAGACTCGGCACCTAAGGATCCTGAAATAACCGGTATATCGGACCACGCTACCCGTTTTCAAGGTGTATGNGCACGAGTGGTTTTGAGACATCAGATCTCCATAACTCTCTCTCTCGTTCTCGTTCGGGTGGCTTAATACTAGGACATGTAATTTCGTATACACTCTACAGGGTCTACTCTTCTCAGTACCCCCCCCCCCCCAACACACACACACATACCCAGCCCACAACAACCCGCGTGGATCATCAAATGACCACCTCTTCCTTGATTTCTAGGGTCCTTTGGTATCGACATTACAGCAGATCCTTAGGCTTTATACCCTATAATTATCTTCCTCGCTCTTAGCACTCCTTTTTTATTTCCTTTGTGGGTCGTTTTTTTACCAAGTCCCAGGTACCGGTAGATTATATACTTTCTAGGTGTACTGTTCTGACTGTTTTATTATTATTTTACCAGAACAGTGTGATTTGTGTGTGTGTGTGTGTGTATGTGTGTGTGTGTGTGTAGACAGGTTTCTATTCCTTGCTAAACATTTCGCTATCCCTGTTTACTTCGAGGTCAAATTTATTTCTTACCGAACACAAGTTGCTATGAGAACATGATATATATAGTTCTTTTATATTTCATGATATATATTGTAAACCGCCGGCCTGTTTTCCCTTTTTCCCCGTCCTCTTCCCCATAAGAAACAGAACACTGGCCAAGAGAGTAACAAATCAACACCGCAGAGTGAACACGGCAAACTTTCGTGACAATGCCCTGTTTTTTTTAGAGAAGTTTGCGGTGACTAATCTTAGATGTGCTATATTGAGGCACGGTTAATACAGGGCAAAATATAGGTGAAGGGTGACCTGACTTGGTGATACCCCCCCCCCTCCTACGTATGCTTTTTCTACGTGGGCGCGTATTATAAATGCAATCTCTTAACTCTTCTTGGAATTGGAATTATCATTCTTGCACCAAAGTGAAAATGAACCAGCCAAATAAAGAAAGAAATTACGAAAATGTTTTATACTACTAAGATGGTGGTCAGTTTAGAGCTATTTTACCAAAAGTATTTTTGTAGCCTATATTTCTTTATTTTAAAATGATTATTGTTACTCACTGTTTATTTTTTTTTTTCATTTTTTGTTCGTAAAATAAAACAGTAACGACGAACGTTTACAGAGATTACAAACATAAGGTAAAAGTTTTAACTTGGACATGTTTTTTAATCCGTGAACTGAGCCTATGTATGGTTACACAGAATACTTTTATCTTATGTCTTTGCATGCAATATTTGCCTGTGCTTGTGTGTATGTAAAAAGGCCTTTACGTACCAAAAACTAAGTANTCCATAAAAATAAAAAAGTGTGGCCTTAATGGTTTTATTGACACCAACTAGGAATGATCGTTATCATACGTTAAATTAACTAAAACTGTATTCACATAAATACCATATATTTATAGGCCTACTCTACAGGGTGTACTCTCTTCAGTAACTGACCCCCCCCCCCCTACTCCACACACACACACACACACACACACACACACACATCCAGCCTACAACAAACCGCGTTGACCATCATATGACCACCTTACCTCTCCCTTGATTTATAGGGCTCTTTGGTTTCGACATTAGACGTTCTTCCTCGATCTTCCTCGCTCTTACCACTCCTTTTTATATCCTTTGTGGGTCGTTTTTTTTACCAAGTCCCAGGCACCGGTAGATTATATACTTTCTATGTGTACTGTTCTGACTGTTTTATTATTATTTTACCAGAACAGTGTGGTTTGTGTGTGTGTGTGTGTGTGTGTGTAGACAGGTTTCTATTCCTTGCTAAACATTTCGCTATCCCTGTTTACTTCGAGGTCAAATTTATTTCTTACCGAACACAAGTTGCTATGAGAACATGATATATATAGTTCTTTTATATTACATGATATATATTGTAAACCGCCGGCCTGTTTTCCTTTTTTCCCCGTCCTCTTCCCCATAAGAAACAGAACACTGGCCAAGAGAGTAACAAATAACACCGCACAGTGAACACCGCAAACTTTCGTGACAATGCCCTGTTTTTTTTAGAGAAGTTTGCGGTGACTAATCTTAGATGTGCTATATTGAGGCACGGTTAATACAGGGCAAAATATAGGTGGAGGGTGACCTGACTTGGTGATACCCCCCCCCCCCCCCCTCCTACGTATGCTTTTTCTACGTGGGCGCGTATTATAAATGCAATCTCTTAACTCTTCTTGGAAGTGGAATTATCATTCTTGCACCAAAGTGAAAATGAACCAGCCAAATAAAGAAAGAAATTACGAAAATGTTTTATACTACTAAGATGGTGGTCAGTTTAGAGCTATTTTACCAAAAGTATTTTTGTAGCCTATATTTCTTTATTTTAAAATGATTATTGTTACTCACTGTTTTTTTTTTTTTTTTTTTTCATTTTTCGTTCGTAAAATAAAACAGTAACGACGAACGTTTACAGAGATTACAAACATAAGGTAAAAGTTTTAACTTGGACATGTTTTTTAATCCGTGAACTGAGCCTATGTATGGTTACACAGAATACTTTTATCTTATGTCTTTGCATGCAATATTTGCCTGTGCTTGTGTGTATGTAAAAAGGCCTTTACGTACCAAAAACTAAGTGTTTATTTATTTANGCCTTTACGTACCAAAAACTAAGTATTTATTTATTTATTTATTTATTTATTTATTGATGATGTGATGCTTACTTTCAGGTAAACACCAATGGCTTGCTGTCGTTCAGGGAAATGGTTGGTCAGTACAAACCGGAAGCCTTCCCCCTAGGGAACATGCGGCGGCTGGTCGCTCCGTTTTGGGGGGACGTGGACACCACCAAACAGGGAGATATATACTACCGGTCCAGCACCGACCAGACGGTACTAGATAAAGCCACTGAAGATGTCCGGAGGGCCTTCGTTGACCAGTCCAGATTTAGAGCCTCTTGGGTGTTCGTTGCCACGTGGGTGGAGGTGACACATTACAATGCAGGCAGTTTCTTTTCTTGCTTAACCCCTGGGCCATCTTGTCCTGTAAGTTTTTTTTAATTTTAACTTTTTTATTGCCTTTTTTATTTACAACAGTTTGATTTATTTGTAAAATAATAAAGGAAATTTCTTTAAAAAATTGAACCGGTTTTATTCTGACATCGAACGTTTGTTTCATTCATATGAATTTAAGTGAGAGGTCCTATGTTACAAGGCAGTGCTCAGCTGAGATATGTTTCTCAAACGTCATCAATTTCGTTTTTTTTAATAAGGCACAGATCAAACAAATGTATTCTCCAAGCTTTGTTATATCATAAATGAGCACCTATTCATTCACTTTTCTTCGTCTTTTTTTAAGAGAAACACTTTTCAAGCCGTACTAGCAACAAATGGAAGGCATTCTTTTGCGATTTTTAACTATGGTGACATAACATGGACTTTAGGCACAGCAAGTGAAAGCATACATGCACAGGTAATCCTTATCTTTTACTAGCAAATTGGCAACTGTATATAATACAAACGTTAATTCCTAAACAAGAAAGAATTACGAGAATGAAGAATTCATATCTATTAAACTAGCCCAAACATCGAAATATCTTGTGATACGTGTAATCTCTCTCTTAATGTTAATCAGTGAAGATAAAATGACGTCAAATCGTTCTAGGCCGGTTTCAACGCCGGAGACGGTGTCCGCTACTACAACATACCAGGTTCCTTAACGTCTAATGTCGTAAACATAGAAACTACGTCCAACGTCAACATCCCAGGACGCTGGGTGTTCAGAATCGACGCTGCTGCCGTCATCAGTGGTGGATGCAACACCAAGGGTAAGGATTTCCTAAAACTGGGAACGTCCGTGTGTGTAATGGTTGACCATGATAATAGATAGTTGGATCCAAGGGACATAGATGTGATGAAAACTTATATATATATATATATATATATATATATATATATATATATATATATATATATATATATATGGAATGAATGCCCTAAACTCCGATAAAATTAGTAAGCTTAAATAATTCAAGCGTGGGTCCGAAATAGGACATTACGACTTATTTGGCGCATATAATGCAATCCAAAAGATTCCATGGTTCATGTCAGATTTATGTAAGGTCACACAAAGATAACCCAAGGGCACATAAGGACCAGAGATATACGATTTATTCGCTGGCGCTTGTAACTACATCATTAAATCTCCATCTTCTGAGCCATCTCCGGTCCCATAACTCGCGTTCGTCTTCTTAACTCTCCCAAGCTGATCTCCTCAGATATTACTTACGATTGGCTTATTTTCAAATTTCTTATCTCAAGTCAGGTGGGTACATATACAGATATACAAACATACACACCTTAATTAATCAAATTTCACACCTTTGTTATATTACTATTACAATAAAACGAGTCGCGTGCACAAGCAAGCGACTCCATTAAAATTAATTTACAATCTGGGAATTCTTTTTTTGTGAACTGTACATAGATGTCCGACGTAAATATGTAGCATTTAAGTGAGACGAATACATTTTCTCACAGCGCCCCGTTCCCTATATACAAGATATACATACATACATATATATATATATATTTTAAATAGGTATATCTGTTTATATCCAGGTACGCTTATCCTGTCATCATTCAGGGGGAGCATGTTGGGGGGCACAGAGATCAAGATTTCTGGACCGTGCTACACAGACACAGACCAGGTAGTGTGTATGTTTAACAACACACGGATACCAGGTGCTCTCATCCCAGACCGCATGCAAGCAAAGTGCTTTACTCCACCGATGTTTAGTAAGGAAAGGGTCCCCTTGCAAGTATCTGTTGATGGTGGGACAACGTTTCCGTACGTCGCCTACTACCAACCTGGTGAGTACAGGGGGCGTTTAAATTTACTATACAGACCTTTTGTTGAAATCATTTTTATGTTTAGTTCTAACTGGAAACAATAAATTGACCTGATTTCAAAGCCTAACTCAGAGGTCACTTGTCGCCGTTTTACGAATGACGTTATTATATTCACCTCGGCTTGTGACGCGTCCACCAAGGCAAATGCAAAATCTTGGGCGTTGAAATACAGCAGTTTTGCCCATTTTACGTAATATATCCTGTACTAGTACCGTAACTAATTGACAACACTAATAGTAATTCACAATTATGCATAATCCAAAACGTTCTTTTGCTACAGAATATTCGGAAAACGAACAATTATACCAAATCGAAAGAGTAGATCCAAAGGCTTGGAGAACAGGTGGTCCTTATGTTATAAAGTGGCTCCCAAACTCCATCGCTGCTTCCAGTGTTGACATAGATCTCTTGGCTATTTAGTAAGTATTGTTAATTTGCTAGTGTTTCAATGGGAGTTTTTTGTATGTTTCTTTATGAATAAGAAGAAATATGGCAAGCTCTATGTGGCTATAAACAATTGCCAGATCGTCACGGTTGTATGTTTGTACGTGCTTATCACAAAACTTCATTTCCCCGAATCTAACTGACAGACTTACCTGTATTGAAAAGAACTTCCAAAATCTTGTCATTCCTACAATAGAACTTAGTCCCCCTTCAAATAATCTTTGATCCGCCCCCGCGCCCCCGAAAAAATATTCAAGGGGTTATATATATTGTTTTTAAGGTGTATGTAAGGTGTGGGTGGCAAAAATGAGCATTTGGGGGATTTTCAAACCCATGGAGTGTACTTTTCATATAGGCCTAATTGAAAACTTCGTTTTTTATGCAGCAAAGAGTATAATGAGCCCCGGACAGTGATCGCACACCACTGGGAACAGGTGGCCAGGAACCAAGCCAATAACGGAACTGCAGACGTACAGCAACTCATACGCAGCTGTACTGCGCAGGTGTACGTCGGCGCCATCAGAATCTCGCCAGCAGGGAGCGCTGCTGGCGATGTTCAAAAGTAAGTTGTGTGAAAAATAGAATTCTCTTTTATTTTAAATTTGACTCTTCTGATAAAGTTTACATGTTTTCTAAAATAAAGAAACTCAGAGACGTGCCCTGCCTCTGACAAAGATATCAAGTTGGTTATTTTAACATTTCCCCTTGGGAGTATCATTCCAACTATTGCTGCCTCTGTCTCGTTCTTTATTGTACCTCACGTTCAAACGTAGAAAAGGATATTTGAATTGCTTCAAACGTGATCTTTATCCATTGTATCGCTTTCTCTCTGGTGTGATCTCTTTTAGAAAGAAAAATTAAATAATCCAAAGTGTTTTTCTCCATTTTTCCATTCCAGAAAACCGGTGATATGGTCTTCTCTTCACTCTCTTCAGTGGTATGTCCACGCGTACCTGGCAACCAGACTGGTGGACTCCAGTCTTCAATTAACATGGTCTTCTACCTACATGCCGGACTTACTGGAGGGTTTGCGATACGGAGCACCTCTCAATCAAAAAAGTTCGTGGGCTGACGCTTTGTCCTACGTAAACGAGTTCGAAAACAGGGTCAATATCGGGAAGGTTCTATGTACTGATTGGTTAGAAGTGGATTATGATGTCAACAACACGGTCGCGTTAGCGGTGCTTCCTTCATGTCCATGCACGTTACAACAGGCGCAAAGGGATCTTGGTCGGTACCAAACTGACCAGGAGTGCTTCCGTGGATCAAATCGACCGGACAATTGTGAACTTAATCCTGGAGCGGTGCATTGCGTCCGTTCTACCATGTGTGGGTAAGTGAACTATACCTAATGCGGAAAGGTACGGTCCAAGGCACATCTACCAGTTGAACATGGCTGCTGATCCAACAATAGAGAGTATCAATTGGTGTCAAAAAGTAGTCGATTTTCTTTTGTTATTTACTATTTGGGCTAAGAGCGGTTGTCTTATTTTATTTTCTTCGCTGAAAACTTATGCAAACTTATATGTTGTTTTCCAGAAGTGCAATGATTTGAAAATCATGGTTGTAACAGTTCAATGAACAGAGAGAACTGCCTAATCTCTTGTCTGAGTCAGCAATTGAATAATTAGAAACATACGAACTTGGATATTAAAATAAGTGTAGTAAACGTAGGTTTTGTTCATTACAGGGTGTCTGGAATCGGCCTCCAATGCTGTTATAATCAAAAAGGCGATCTCCTTGATGTCAGGGACTTTAAATTTATCAACGGCGTTGGTCATGCTGTAGGTGGTGGGACGCTTGACCGGTCACATCCCACGTGCAGAAACCCTAACCTTATCCCGCAACTAAGCCATCTCCTTGACGACATACTTCCCCAGCACATTTGCTGCATGTGGACGTCCAAGAGAGAATGGTCAAAGGACGCCGGCTATTGCCTAGACACGTACCTAATTGGTAGACGATCTAGTGACTGTAAAGGATATGTTCCCCCTAGGCCAGGTACAATTATTATATCAGCCTTTATCGGAAAAAATTCATTTAAATTAGTTCTTGGATTTTCTCTAGATCTGTCTTGGAATATTTTTGACATATTTGGCTTAATCTCATCTGGACCTGTTCACACATTATTTCAAGAATATTCTTCATTAACCATTTAAATATACCCGGTATAAGTCACTTTAGGTCTATTGGCCTGTTAAAAGACTTTTAGCCAACGTTTAGGTGGATTTCCGTACACCACACTTGGCACGTTGCTGGCAATAGTCATGGTCCTTTAATTCCTTGCACAGTAACCTGTTGCATAACTGGCAGAATCAAAGTTGACCAGAAATTGACTATCCTTGCCTGGCTATTTTATATGGTGTATTGGGTCTTTGTCCGAACATATTCGCCCACAAATATTTCTGACGAAAACAAATATTATGGCTGTTTCTCTATTCGGTACCTTATAGCCTCTGATTTCCAATTCTGATTTTTTGAAACAAGGTTTTACAAGAAAAGAAGACAAATGGCTTTAAAAATATATGATTTGATTGGAATTGTTAAAGCTTTTTTTATTTCGTTGACTCGGTAAACAGAATTTTGAGTTTTTGTAAAGATGTATCTTTTGAAAACTGTTAATATATTAGCTGTTTTCATCTACTTCTTAAGCCTCTGGGTTTGGTGACCCCCACATCGTGACGCTAGATGGCGTTCGTTACATGTTCAATGGTATAGGTGAATACGTCATACTGCAACTGGAGAACCACAACTTTACGCTACAAGGGAGGACACAACAAGTAACTGGTGAATCAGGTTGGTAAAACATTCGACATACATTTATGACCAGACTCTACCTGTTTAGTTGTTAAACGCACTAGTCGGTCTGATAGCCTACACTACCAAATACCAAAAAGAGTTGCAGTGCTATTTTTTGAAGCAGCCGAGGAAAAAACCTGTGTTCAGTTTTGGTTCTTAGTGCACGGGGCTCTGTTGGTTTGTTTCATTTGTTAAAAAAAAAAAGACGAATGAAATTAGTCAAGTAGGCCTTCCTATTGACCAATATGATTTCCCTACCCTCTGCTTTGTAGGTGCTCTGATGAAGGCAACCGCGTGGACGGCATTTGCCATGAGGTCTGTGCTGTCTAACGTCACTGTTCAGCTGACCGCTGGCCGGCAAGGCATGATACACGCCATGGTGAACAGCGAGCGACTGGACTTCATGGACAGCGATAGTCACAGCCAGGAAGGTAGGTTATATTGGCGTTCAAGATCTTGTGCATTTGTCCACAAAAGTGTATAAATGTATATTGGACGCGTCATGGTGATTTCGTCATTAACAACGTATTTTTTGTTTAGATTTAAGATAATGGTACATGTATTTACTGTTATTATTATTATTATCGAACAAAACTTGCAAAATTAGTCAAAATTAGATAAATTAAATATTTATTTAACACTTGCCATTTGTGCTGATTAATTTCGACTTCTTGTTGTTATAGGAATCACATTACAACTGGTACCAGATCAAAACAACTCATCGCGATCTGGAGTCAACGTCGCCTTTCAAGAGGAGAACATCTTTCTCGAAGTGAAATCCATGGAAGATATTTTACATTTTATGCTGTATCTTCCTGAAGACTCAAAAGGTACGTCTTCTACCTGATATATAGCCTTCGATATATAGTCTGGTTGTAAAGGGGGTACATGTACAGTAAATATATGCTTTATAAAGATCGCGATTAAATGAGAACTAATTAAGAAATAGCGAAGTGAAAACGGGACAAGACAGCAATGAGCTAAATAGAGAGGATAGTTGAGAGGGGAATCGCAACGTGTGGAGAATGACTTTAAATGTGAGTTATCTTCTGTATCGTAGGTATGACGCGAGGACTTCTTGGAAGATGGAATGACGACCCTGATGATGACTTTAGTGCTGTTAACGGCCAGGTTCTGCCTGCCAATGCTTCCGTGAGGGAGATACATTACGGTTTTGGGGAGACCTGTAAGTACAGTGGTCTGTCATCTTTGATGTCAGTAAAAAAAGATGCAATGTGGAGGACGTTATGGATTTTCGATATCTGAACACAATTTGTAAAATAAATATTATTACAAGTAGCCTCATACCAACAAGTATTATAGATAAAGGCATTGTTTGGAATAATTGAAACTTTCTGGTACAATTCACAGTAAAATGCTATGGTATTCCGTTTACTACTCATTACAAAGACAAAGACGATGGTTCGCATGTGAATGAATGAATGTCTCTATCTCATTTATTTTAATCATCATTTGTACAACAATCTCCATTGCAGGGAGAGTGACCGAGGCGACATCTTTATTTTCATATGACATGGGAAGATCGTTCGATTATTTCCAAAATGCATCCTTTGTGCCAATATTTGATGCCGCAGTGGGGGCATCGAACGAAACTAGGCAGAAGGCATTAGAAATGTGCGGAGATGACAACGACGAGTGCTTGTTTGATTTTATTATAACGGGGCGGGAGGAGATTGCTATGACGTCAAAAAGTATGATGGTTGAATACAAACAGGCGATGAACGACACGAAAATGGGTTTGTATTTTTTTTAATAATTAAAAAAAATTTATGTGTATAAGAATATAGGCCTACCAATATGATCGTACATTACTATAAATCCAAAGACTTGTAATATTTTTGTTAAATTGATATATGCCAAATATTAATTCCAGTTGTCACATGTGGTTACTTGGAGACACCCAGTAATTGCAGTAAGTTTGCCGACAATTACTTAGAGGGCAGCCTCGTGCGGTTCGAGTGTGATAGCGGGTTCGTCTTGACTGGGTCAAAGGTCAGGCAGTGCCTCAATGATGGAACATGGGATGGTGAGGAAACTATCTGTAAAAAAGGTAAATATATTTTCCCTTTAAGTTTTATAAAACACAATTCTTAAATGTTTTGGATAAAAGGCGTTACAAAAAGATGAAATGGTCGGAAATTTAAAAGTAAATATTTTGTGGTGTGATACTGCCGTTCTCCAAGTAACATTCTTATCATTTCAGAGCAATTGGGATATTTATGGATTATAGGCTGTGTTGTTGCCGCCCTTGTTCTCCTATTAGTTGGGGCTATCGTGATTTTTATCTGTATCAGAAAGCGTCGGGTGAGAAAGAACTCGGAATATGAAACCGCTGCCGTAGTGTATGAGGTAGCAAAAGACACCAAAAAGGACCAAAACACTTACGAAGAACCAGAGAACCCAACGGCCTATGACGTACCAGGAAACCCGTACGAAGTGCCTGCCGGGCGTGCAGACAAAATAGAAAATATATACAGTAATGAGCCTGCTGGTGAAAATGTATATGAAAATACAAAGCGGAAATAAGTTTTGTCACCACGGGAACTGAAGGAATCGCAGGATGAGGTTCACAGACAGCAGGTTTATGAGGCGATTTTATGATACCGGGCGGCGTGGCCTATGAATTAATACACTTCCACAGTAACTTTGAATTATATAAGAACCAACTTACGCAAATTCTGACCATGTTTGAAAAATGGCTCAACAGCTGCTTTTATTTAGCTGTAGTTTATCTACACCAACCAATTATAAAATTGCATTGTAGCCATGCATCTTATTATATTTTTAATGATACATTGTGCTTTTTTGTAATGTGTTTTAAGACGTGCTATTTTAGCTGTGATGTTTTTTTTTTTTTCATTTTTATACATTTGATGAGACAGTATAATACATACATGTCCGTGTAGGCATTGGTTCTTTGTGCCATTTGCATTTGCGCAGTAGGCCTATTCTTTGTATCTGTGGCTCTGAAAGAAGTTTGTTTGCTTCGGAGTTGAAATGGTTGTGTTCGAAAAATTAATTGTGCGTGTACCAGGTAAAAGAAGAGGCGCACATAAGTTGCCTAGTCATGATAAAGAATCGACCGAGCTAGTGTTTAGAGCTTACAAGTTTGACTTAGAACGTGTTGCTTTAAAGCTCATATGTTAATTATGGGGACCAAAAGATCGTTGGCTGTCAGTGATTTTTGAACAGTAATTTTTGATCTGTATTTGGAGTAAGCTTCTCTTTGCTCTCATTTGTTTTTGAATTATTGTTATCAATCAGAATTAGACACGCAATCAATTCCAGGTTTCTTAATTTATGTAACAAGTGAAATCACCTCGTGTACCTGTGTACCACACGTAGTCATCAGCACATTGTTAAAATGAGTCTACGAGTTTAAAGCTGTATCTTTATTCAAATATTATCAAAGTGAACCTTTTTACTTAAACACCAACATGTGCTTTATTTTGTTTTATTTTCTTTTATATAAAAGAAGAGTAGCCTAAAATCCGAGGCTTGTCAAGACTTTAAGTACGTTATGTTTAATCATGGAAGTTTTCCAGTTATTCTTTCATGATTAATATACTGAAGATGGACTGAAAGAGAATGGAACTTAAAAATTCAGCTTTACAACCGGAGATCAGAAGTCAGTAATAACTACAATAAGATAGGCCTATTATCAAAATGTTTACAACGCAAAAATTTACATTTGTTCCAAGATTGAGCTCTCCTATGGCAAAAGTTAAACACGGTACATGTAGATGTTGCAGAGACCACAACCAGCCATTTATCGGGGCACTACCAGGATGAGAACGAAGTTAATAAAGGAAGTTTTGTCGTTTTCTATCCATGACATCTTATACATTGTACATGTAATTGGTAAATACAAGGGTGGATCCAGGGTTATTTGAACGGGGGCCGGTGTCCGCGAATACGAAGCCGACCCCTCAGGAAAAAGTCCTATAGGATCCTAAAAGGATATCCCATAAGATCCTATAAGATCCTATAGGAAATTGGCCCAATTTCCTATAGGCTGCTATAGGATCTTATGGGATATCCTTTTTTTGTTAGGGACCCCCCCCCCCTCTGCCCGCCCGGAGGGCCCCAAAAATTTTACGTATTTTAGAGGATGAACGGTGCCATTTGGTACGGTTTAGAACTATGATTCAGCTAGTCAAAATTCTAGTTTCAAGAGGGGACCATTAGTGTGCTTTTTTTTTTTTTTTTTTTTTTTTTTTAATCGAGGGGAGGGGGGCGCACGAAAATGCAGTAGTATCGAAGTAGCAAAGCATTAAGGCAGTAGTGGTGTGGAGCATATCTGCAGTAGAAATGCAGCATAGCCTACTGCAATTCTATTCCAAAAAGTACATAGGTTTGTACAGAGAGGAGCATGCATGATAGATTGGCAGCATGATAGAAGCATGTTTCAAATATGCTAATTAGCTCCCAAATCGAAGCAGATTTGAAGCATGTTTGCAGTATGATTGCAGTAGTCTACTGCGGTTTGCAGTATGATTGCAGTAGTCTACTGCGCTGGAGTATCTACTGCGTTTTCTTGCGGGGGGGGGGGGGGAGTCAGGACCTCGACATTTTCTTCACTTTCTTAGTCGAATGCCGTCGTCATTCTGTGGTCTCGCAGAAGCAACGTGAAGTTAATGTGCATGGTAATATTACAGCCTCACCAGCTATAAAATTCTTGCTGATATACAGCTATGCTGCATAATTCTATCCGACCCTTTCCTTTTGCTTCCGTAAACTAATAAAGTGTAGGTAAAATGGGTAATATGCTCTTATTCGATTCTAATTATCTAACAATCTTCAGGATAGGCCAAATTTCCCTTCGCAAAATGACAAGAGAGAGAGAGAAAGAGAGAGAGAGGAAGAGAGAGAGAGATGGAGTGGATAGGAAATTTATAACTTGTACATCCTCCCCCCCACCTTGTCACTCTCCACACCGGTTTCTATCACACTTACTCGGAGCTTGTCTTGCCGTTTCGCCTCAAATCGAGGCAGTAGCAGAAGAGATCGGCTATGCTCACTGAAATTTTAACCTATTTCGTTGTTCTGGGACACGTATTAGTTTGTCCCTATACTAAAGTTGAGGAGAGTTTTAATCTACAAGCTTCACATGATATTCTGTACCATGGTCTGAATATAACGCAGGTAACTCATTAGTGCATTTACAAATGTGTCAGCCGTCTTAGAGTCACATGTACACGGTACATGTACATGTACAGGCCGACATGTACATGATACATATTCAACTTGTGCATCGTCTCTTGGTGGACCTTGAAGTTGACTAAAGCTTAACAGTGGTTAAAGAAAGTGTATAAAAACATCAACGTCATTGTAAAATCCATATGTATGGGTAATAATGCACCCCAGGCTTTGGTCTTCACACCCCAGTGTTTTTTAATTGAGTACTAACTTTAAAAAACATTAAATTAATGTATGGGAACTTTAATATTAGCAAGGAAGTAGGTATCGAATTGATTTAAGAGCTAACTGTAAAACTTTTCTAAACCAATTTGCATTGATCAAGCTGCTGCATGATTTTAGAAAACCATTCAAAACCAAAGATCAGGTGGAAGTGGGTGGGTGCATGGGTGGGTGGGGGGGGGGGGGTAGTGCCTCAGAACCCCCACTTTAAACTCATCTCCAGAAGTACCATGCAATGGGCATTTTGGCATTTATGTGCACATACGCCGTATAGACAGTTTACATAATTTATTATGATTTTTTTCTTTTTTCTCCCCAGTGTTTATACCCAGTATCTAATACAATTAACATTATAATTCAGTAATATTATTTATTCCTATTGTTCCCCAGTATAGCCACTTAGTATCTGAGACAGTTGACATAATTTATTATAATTTATGCTTATTTAACTCTCTCCAGTATGACCACTTAGAATTTCCTGGAGTGGTACCAAGGACTTTCCTGGGAACTCTATTTGTATCTGCCGTCTCATGGCCTCTGGTCACTCTGGCTCACTATGCTGGACTGACCAAACTAGTCAGTCAGTTGATTGGTAAGTGATATACTGGATATGATGAATAATGTATAGTACATTGTCATTATCTACTGTTTCAGATTTTTTATTGTCTTTGTTATTGGCTTAATTTCTCATCCTTCTCATTTTTACTATCATCCTTTTTGTCTGATGTACTGGTAAGTATCTCAGTCTGGATAGAAATATTTACTGTTTTAGATAAAAATGCTGTGAGCCTGTGACAGCAGTGACTGGAATCTGAGACAGGGTTTCAGTGATATAATCCAGATGAAAGGATGATTCTTCATTTTAAAGTTGTCTTTTCATTTGCTGTTGTTGTCCTCATTGTTTTTTCTTTCTCTTTCACAACTGAAACTCGTGGTGCACATCCTCATTATAAGATTGGGATTTGAAAGCAATATTTTACCTTGCAGTGCGCGGTGTTCTTGGTGTATGTGTGGCGTGGTCACTACTACAATTTAAGAATGCAGTGTCAGGAATATTTGGTCAAATGGCTGGAAAGTGGTTACTGCTGGTCACCATGTCACAGTTCCATTTCATGTTTTATGCATCAAGGACTCTGCCAAATATATTTGCCTTAGCATTAGGTGAGTTATAATATACATGACATGAATGATGTATATATTGTCTGGTCTCTTATGTAACATGGTCATCTGCTTGTATCAAATAATACAGTTTTCCTTACAGTAACTTCCTTTTTTTCCTGTGAAAGTCCACACAGAGTTGGATCGATCTTCATAGACAGATGGTGTCTGTGGGAATGAGCCCTTTGAAGAGTTCTACTAAGATGCAAAAATCATATTTTTTTCTCAATATTTTCCCCGTAGAGTAATTTGTTATTAAAACTTGGAATATGCTAGGGGAAAATGTATAATATGATGCGTATACAGAGTAAAGTTAACTTTATGAATTATTTTATTATTTAAGTTATTTATTGTTATTATTTTTTATTTAATAAAAATACCCTTGCAGTCCTGCTGGCCCTGAAGGCGTGGCTGAAACAAGATCACGCCCATTATGTGTGGCTATCTGGCTGTGCTGTGATCATCTTTAGATCAGAACTTGTTCTCCTCCTGGGACTTATGGTTCTTATGGAGTTAGTTACTTTGAGGCTTAAAATAGGGACTCTGCTGAAACATGGGGTGTTGGCAGCTGTGGTATGGGTTGGTGAGTATTTTCAAATATATACTTGTACTTGTTTCAGACAAAACCGAATTTTTATTGCTATCAAATTCTGTTTTTTTGGTAGATGTTGTTGTTAGACTAGTCTAGATTGATTAAGATAATTTCAACTGATATTTTTATATGAGATGAAAGTGTGTGAAGTTTTGTATTATAGGTAATTTTCAGAACTAATCTGATTTTTGTCATCTGTAGATGATATACACAAATATTATCACTGATTTCAGATAGATTGGCTGCAATTTCAAAAACAGTATTTAAATTTGAATTATAAATGGGGACTGAAATGTGTCATGTCCCTTTAACTATTCATTTAACCTTGAAGTATCTATAGGCATGATGAGGCAATTGTATTGTTAATATAATCTAATGAATACATTTTTAACTTTCAGGAGCCACAGTATTGGTGGACTCGTGGTTCTGGCAGAGATGGCTGTGGCCAGAAGGAGAGGTCTGGTGGTTTAATGTGGTGCTCAATAAAAGTTCTCAGTGGGGTGTATCCTTGAAGTCCTTATCATTTTGAAGACCTTATCGTTTTGCCAAACCATTAATGGACTGATCTGAGAAAATTCAAAACACATGATAGATATCAGTATACATAGCCTTAACCAGTATTGCCAGACACACCCATTCCTGTGGTATTTCTACTCAGCCTTGCCCAGAGCCATGTCCAGCAGCATGGTGTTGATTCCCCTGGGTTGTTACCTGGACAGGAGACTGGGGGTCATTGCTTTTCCAGCGGTAGGGTTTGTCCTCCTTTACTCTGTCCTTCCACACAAGGAGCTGAGGTTTATAATCTACGTGGTGCCGATGTTGAATGTCATTGCGGCAGTAGTCTGTGCTAGATTGTGAGTATAGTGATTAACTGAATCCTGAAATACTAAAAGGGAAATGCCATTGTGTAGGGCTTCAAATAAATAAAATTATTATTATTATTATTTCTTGTTATTGAAGTTTTTTTTAGCTCAGTTTGATCTGTTCAGGCATGACTAAGAGAAGTGAGGATTATAAACAGTGTATTGACATCCCTGGGGCAAGTTCAGATCTACGCCCATTGTAGTGAATAGAACAGTTGAACAGCAGTGATGTCTCTGTTATATTACACATTACAATGGGCAAAAATCTTAACTTGTACCAAACCATATAATGTCATATGCCACCTGTTAAGTAAAATCTTTTATTCTTAGATGGAACAACAGAAAAAAGTCTGTGTGGAGTAAATTCCTGGCCCTGGGTGCCTGTGGGCACCTGTTAGTCAACCTCTGTACCACTGGAGCTTTTTTGTATATCTCCCACCTAAATTATCCCGGAGGAACTGCTATGTATCGTCTCCATCAGCTGGAGGCAGGAAATAAAGGTATCAGGCTTTATTGGCAAACTGATCATTTGTGACTTTGAGCTGTGGGGTTGTAATTGTGAATTCGAAATATATATAAAATAAACTGGGATTTCATGGTGCAATCATAAAAATACTTGTCGCAAACACCACATTATAAACTGCAAATCACAAATCCCCTTCGCTTCACATTTGGAATGGTTTTGTCGAAGACTATTTAGAAATCAATTCATTACTACCATGATATTTCAATATTAAAATATGCTAAAAAAAAGTAACTCATAGTCAGGAAAAAAATCTCTATGTATATAAAACGGAGAGAGATCCAGATGAAAGGTGGACTAATCATTTACAGTTATAATGCAGTGGTCATTACAAGTTTAATTTTTCCAATCTAAAAGTTAAATCAAAATCAGTTGAAAAGGAGTGAAAAGGACC